ACAAACGTTTTCAAAGCCCTACTGGGCACGTCGCATCCTGCACGTCGTGCAAAACATAACTGCGTGGACATTGCCTTTGCCAGCCAGCGTCGACTCGCTGCACTCCAATCCCGATGCTTGCGCCGGCGTGCCCAATACCGTCGAGCTGCCTCGGTTCTTTCCGACTGCCCCACCCGAGTGTGACAGCGTGTCAGAGCAGAGTTACCTCCCCGAGCGCAATCTCGGCCCCGCACGAGCCGCGCCTGCCTACCCAGTGGACTTCCATTTGGTCGCCGATCTTACTCGAGGCGCGGCCGCCCTGCCTGGAACAGATATATCGTGGCACTGCTCTGCGTCTCCTTGATTTCCACTTGCGTTTTGTCACGCCCGCTCCGCTCGAGCCTTCCACAGACGCAGCGCCGCGCAGCTTCCCGCCGTCTTCTTCGGCAGCTTGGCGCGAATTCGCGCGAGATGCCAGAGATTGGCAGCACGTACTTGCCGCGAACGTTCCCGCGCCAGCCGCGCACGCGGCTGCTCCTGTCACGGCTTTGGGTCCCTCCTTGCGTGCTGTACTAGATTCTGCGTGGCGCTTGATCCTCGCCGGGAATTGCCGCACCAAGCAAGGCACGCTCAATCGCAAGCAGGCGGCTTATCTGCTCCTCTCCGCAAGCCTGACTGCCCAGCTACTACATGCAAGGTCCGTGTTCACAGGCACCCGCGAGCGTCGTTCTGTTGGGCGGCCCCGGGACCGGCAAAACACATATGCTGCGACTCGCTCGGCAATTGCGTGAGAAGTACCTGCCCGGCAGTGTTTTATCTACCGCGTTCATGCACTCTGCCAGTCGACTCGTCGACGGCATGACCTTGCATGCTGCTTTGGGTCTGCAGGTCGACGGCAATGCCGTTACCACTCGAGCCGCCCGGGAAGCGCGTCAAACGCTCTGGCAGTCGATTCGCACACTGCGAATTGACGAGATATCTATGGTCTCCGCGGAGCTTTTTGCTCAAAGCGAGGCCGCTGCGCGAGAGCACGGCCCGGCTGCGGAGCTCTGCTGGGGCGGAGTGGCGTTGGAATGCAGCGGCGACTTCAATCAACTCCCGCCCGTTCGAGCCACATCGTTGGCTTCCGATCCACCACCGCTGGATCCCGCCCGCCGACGACGGCAAACCCGCCAAGCAGTCCGCCGCGTTCGCGCGCAAGGGTCGTGAACTTTGGACACAAATGTCTCACTGCATCTGTCTAGACTACAGCCATCGCTGCGACGGACCTCTGGCAACTTTACTTTACGAAATGACACAAGTCGGCACACTCTCCGAAGCAAGTTGGACAGCCCTACGCCCGCGAGACCTGTTCCAGTCGCCTCTGTGCTCTACAGGCGTCTTACGGCACAACATCCGCGCTGCCATCACACATGAGCGTGCCCTGGCGTGCGCCAGAAATCAACAACAGCCTCTTTTCATTGTGCCGGCGGCAGATCGGAGCGCCAGTCTGCCAGACAACGTCACATACCGGGATCTTGCCGCAGTCGCCAACCTCACCACAACCAAACAGCTTCCCAGCTTCTTGTATCTCTACGTGTCCGCTCCACTTCAACTGGAGGACAAACTTTGCGTGGAGCTCGGCCTGGTCCGCGGCTGCCGCTGTTTCGTCCGAAAGATCCACTTCGACCCGGCGGATCTGGAAGCAGCCGCATGTGCCAGTTTGGACCCGGCTTCGTCCGCGCCCACAGTTCTCTCGCGCGTTCCCTGCGGTATTGTCGTCGAGGTGCCCGGCGCCACCTGGGCGAAAGACCCTCGCTTAGGCCCAGCACACCTGTTCCTGCCGCGCACGGCACGCCAATGGACCCACCACACCAAACAAAACAGCCGCCACCGCAGACCAACAACCCAGCCCACCTTCTTTTCTTGAGCACGCGACTTGACTGCACCGAAATCTCGCAAGCAACAAGTCAATTTCGAGCAGTTAGTTACCCGCCCAGATTTTCTGCTCCAGGTGCAAGTGGCTCCTCGCACATCAAAGCCGCGCGCTTAGCGACGCCACGCACGGCATCTGCAACCGAGATGCACGCTGAGGCGCAGAGGCGGCCCCCGGCTGCAGCACGCGAGGTCCTCCTCAGCAAAGCCGCGAACGCACACGATGGTCTCGATACGCGCGCAGGCTGCGCAGGACAGCATCGAGCGCCGCAGCCTCGACTAGCCCGAAGCCCAGTCAAGTCGGAAGCTCAAAAGCGCCACGAAACTTTCGAACCCACCCAAACTGTCGGAGGTGGACACTACGCGCGATCAGTCTGCTGCGCTACGTTGGCGCCTTACAAAGGCCCTATAGTTCGTTGCTGCACGACGTCACGCCTTGTGGTGCCACTTGCCCTGCCCGGAACTCGCCCACTTAACTCAGTCCTAATTCATAGACCGGCACCCAATGAACTATATCTTTGACATACCTGCCAAACAAACTGTAGACCCGTCACCCGGCACTACCAAGCCCCAACAAAACCCAGTGGACACAACCGCCGCACGTCTCAGCATATGCACAGGACGGCGGCAATCGCCGGCTTCCGCTCCAGACGAAGATCCCCACAAGGCAGAAGCTTCAAGGCGCCATCGAACCTTCAAGTTCAGTTGCGTCACTTGCCACACGTCTCCAGGTTGCCGCGTGCCGCGCGGCCCATCCGGCGACGGCGCCGCTACGCCGACGGCTTACGCTAGTTCCGCACTTTCATGTCATCTTGTCCGCTGCATTGCTGGCACCGACGCACGCGCCGTATGGTACCACCCTCTTTGCCTTAAAATCGGTCACTTGAACTACGCCCCTTCACCCTACACTGGCGCCTCTAATACACATTGCTATGCCTGCCACGAAAACCCTAGATTCGCCGGGCGGCTACCTTATCTTACCAACCTTGCTCGGCACTCGAAACAACAAGATCCCCAAACGTGAACTCATACCCCGCACACAAACACACTTCGCCAAGTCGCAGGAATAGGAAACATGACTACATGATTCGATCGCTGCTCAAACGCTGCACGCCTTATACATGTCTTGCCTTCACGCCGACCAGGTACGCAAGACCAGCTCCCGAGTTTGCGCTTCCGCGCCAGCATACCTGTCGAGCGCGAGCCTGAGACTGCAAGACTCAACTACACTCGGAAGCGTAGTTGCTTTGATTGCGCGAGTTCACAACTTCGCCAACCCTTCAGGCGCAGTTGTTGCAGTGGCTGACGCGTCTCGAGGTGGCTGCACGCCCAACACGGACACGGACACAGAGCCGCCACGTCAACGGCTTACGCTATAGTTCTGCACTTCCGTTTAATGTCTTCCGCTTCATTGCTCTCACAGCTGCGCGCGCCTTATGGTACCACCTTTCCTGCCCTGAGTCACCCGTCATAACTTTCTCGGATATGCAGCAGTGCTTCAGTATCCTCCTTGGCACCTCGGGTAGGTTTGGTATCGCACACGCAATTGCCACAGATTTTCGGCTCGATCCTTCAGCTCTTCCGCTGAGAAGCCTGCGTCCCCATGACCCCCAGCAAACGCAGCGGCGAGAAGGCGCCCGCTGAGGCGCCCTCGAAGCGGCTGGCTGCCGCGCCGGGACCCACCAGCAGACAGCCGCAGGATCCTCCCGCCCCCCCGGCGCAGAAGCACGCACCAACAAACCCATCTCCGCCTCCTGTGACTGCGGCCAACACCTCAGGAACCGCGACCAATGCCACCCAACCCGCGCCGCTGACGGTCTTCGCCACCCGCAAGCGTCGCACCTCTGCAGGCTCCCAGCCAACACCGACGCAGCCTAAGCCACCGGCGTCCGGGCAGGTCCTGTCTCGCGGGGTCCCCGCTGTCGAAATTACGGCCATGGCATACGCAGCCCACGGGAACTTGGTCTCGGAATCCTTTGCGGACGACGGCGTGACCGCCTTTCTGCTGCTTCGCGACAACGCCACTCCCTGCCCCTTGAGGCAGCTCAAGGCAAACTTCAATGCGTTCCTCGCCGACGCCGCCAACCAAGCTCCACAGTCCGACGCACCCAAAAACGTGGAGGACTTGGCCAACTACGGTATGATCCTCAAGCTGGGTTCGGCAACCGGAAAACAGGGCACGCAAGAGATCAGCTGGTGCAAGGTACTGTACGCTGACGGCGACGCGGTCGGCGCACAACAGGCGCTCACACTGCTGCTGCAATATTTCCGGCGCTGCTTCGCACAGGCGGCCTACAAGAGCCGCACACCGCGGGTGGTGCTACGAAACACAACACCGCACCCGCTTCAGATGAACCTGGCGGACTACAACCTTGATGGCGAAATCATTCCCAGTGCCTCTGCGCCGTGCCATCAACTGCAGCTGACGGCCCCGTCCGGGCGGCCGATAATTGCAACTGCGCAACTCACAGGCGAAGACGCAAGCCTCGCACTCCGCGGTTGGCTGTGGACACTGAAAGACCACCTCGGCAACTTCGGCTTTCAGCGCATCTACACAAATGCTGCAGGCGACGAGGTGCCTCCGGGCTCCGGCGGCGTGGAGTGGTACACCTGCGACGGGCTGCGACACCATGCCGCCAAAGAGCTCCTTGCCGATCTCGCTGCGCTTGTGCCTTTGGCGCTGATCATCCCACCGGCGGACGCACCGGCAGACACACTTCGAGCGTTCACCAAAGACCTGCCGGCGGCCATCTACCTCGTGCCCAACTGAAGGTCACAGCAGCCCGCAGATTTTCTCTCGACTCTTGCGCCCAGCGCAGCGCCCGGTCGGCAACTGTCCGATCGAGTTTCTCCGAAATCTTGTGCCATGACCCGGCATGTCCCAGATTCACAGACATGAAGAAGCTTCATGACCGCAACTCGACAAAAGCCATGAAGCACGAGAGCGGACATCAAAACAAGCACTCTGTCTTCAAGCACCGCCTCGCCCTAAGGATGCCTGCCACTTCACATCTCACGCCTGTTGCGCCAAACAGCTGCAGGAATTTCTGTCAACAAGCTTCAGCCCAACGGACATCAGGACTGCCGAGCCTGCACCACCAGCCGCAATGGCCAACCAGTTCATCTGCGCATCGGCGCTGGTGGCCCTGTTGGACCGACTTACGCACCTTGACTTCAAAATAACTTGCGTCGCACGAAACAGTTTAGCGGCCGCATACTCCATGTGCCGAGGCAGCCTGTGGACTGGAACGAGTGGCAGCGTCACTGGCATGCGCTGACACCGCGCGCGCCAGAGCAACCATCTTACAACCGATACGTGGACTCCATGATGGTCAAACTCGGCCCGCTCTGGCGCGATGACCTCACCAACAACAAGCGCAGACTTTGGAACGACGCCCTGCAGGCGCCGTGGGTGTGCCAGCTGCCAGCACTCCCGACGTGGAATCAATGGCAGCGGCTGGTGGGCACACGACTCCGGCAAGGGGATGCATCGCCGGCTTTGCTGCACCGTGACGCGTACACGGCGCTTGTCAAGCAGCTATGCACCTGCTCCTCCAGCAGATCGACCGGATGTCGAATCCACGAACACACCCGCAAGTCCGTTGACTTGGAACTCGTTCCAACGCTGGTGGGCCGACCGCTGCACTACGCGACCAACCAAAGGAGACTATCAGGCCTGCATGCTCCGCAACTTCGGACCAACTTGGCGACAGACACTGGGCCCGACGCGACTCGGCTTGCTTCAACCATGACACTGAAATTTTACACCGCTTGCCTCGGCTTAGGTCCACACGCCTGCGCGCGCCCCACAAGAAGATTGCTGCAGCCGCGACCCGGCTTCAAGCCCATGCCGCCGCTCTTCTGCACGCTGAGGCCAAAGATGTGGCACGCATTGCGCAATCCTTGGCGGCCGACGCAAAGATGATCGCCGCACAAGTCCAGCGACTTCGGCGCAAACGTACAAGAGTACAACGCAGGAACCCAGCCGCCAATGCAGCGCCGCCGCGGCGCCGACTGCACTGAGAAGCTGAGCTTGTCCGGTCACCACTGGCGGCCGAAAACCCATTTTTGTGAAGCCTCTTTTCCATACTGCCGTGGCGACTTTTGACGCTTACTAGACCTGCCCGGCCAGCGAACACCGCTGAAACACCCGTGTCGCATGCACGACCTCAAAAAATAACCTTGCAACGACGAAACACTCCGGTGCGCCCGGAATCCAACTCCAGCTGCTTCGTCAGGCCAGCCCTCGGACGTGGAAGCTTGCACCAGTGAACAGTGCAAGTTCAGGCCTCGGCTTCTGCATGCACTAGTGCTCAAGACCACTTGTGGAACCTCTACCCCAAGGCTTGTGAAGAGTTCCTAGAAGCCGGCCAGCTCAGGGATCAAGGACCCTCAAGTCGAAATCATCCCCAAAAGCCCAAAGCTCTGGACTCCAAGCCCGAGAGCCGCAGGCCCTGAAGCAAGGTCTACGAGATCATGGTTCCAATCCCATCTCCCCCAAACCCTTTTGGACCTCAGCCCAAAGTCGCAAACCCCTGAACTCTAAGCCCCAAACCCAGAACGTAGATTGTTCCGAGGCTGGAAAAGAAGAAAATCGATTGCAGTGGCCTCAGGGCATTCTGCAGCCACAGCTTTGAAAAAACGTCCCTGCACCTCAACTCCACATGATTCAATATCCTGGCTTGTTGGAAGATACTTAAACTCCTATTCAGGTAAAGTGTTGTACGATTTACAGTACGGTCCTCGTTGATGTTGCGCGCCCCAACCTTGCCGGAGGTCAGAACTGCGGAACTCATCCCAGGCAACGGGCGAAGAATTTGGCCAAGCTTGTCTCTGAGGCCTTTACGGAGATTTAAAACAAGAGAATAAATGTCTACCAATATCATCTCCCACGAATCCTAATGATCGGAATGTCAGTGGTAAATCTAGTATGGCGTCCCCAAAGATCCCACCCTAAATAAGAAAGCGCTGGTGCTAGGTGCTAAGACTTAGGGCTGAGGCTCGAGGTTCCGATGTGAGCGTGCAAAGCTTGGAGTTTAGAGCGTCCACCTCGAGCTTGGATCCATGACTGCTGCGCCAGCCGATCAGGCGAGCCGAAGAACAAGATCAGCGAGGCACCCTGCCGCACACTGCCGGGACGGAATTCTAAAACCCATTGAGACCTGCGTTAAAAAACACAGTCACAACCCCACATCCGCGTCTCAAGCCGAAACCAAACAGCCGCTTCCTGACAGTCCAGTTCAAGTTTGACAAGTAGACATTGCCATGTCACAAGCTGCTGCAGAGACCATGGCGGCCAAACTCCTGCGACGACGTGCAGTCCGACATCGCGACATACTCGCCTTGCTTCGTACCTGGAAGTGGCAGCCGAATCGGACGCGAAAAAATGTCACTCCAGCTGGTCACAAACATGTGTTCAGTCAAACGCTCGGCTTAGTGACAGCCAGAACCAAAGCCGCAATGTCCAGAAGCTCCCGGAGAAACCCAAAAGTCTGCAAGGTTCTCAACAACTACTTGAAGCAGCATGCTACATCGCCGCCGTTGAGAGCGTTTCTCCGAACTGGCTACACCTCCATTACCATGAACATGGGACATCGGGGCCGCGGCGCGCGCCTCCATAGAGATGTTAACAACGCTGGGGCGACTGTGTTCGTCAGCATGGGCAACTTCACCGGGGGCAAAGTCCGCACATGGCCAAACGATGTGCCCGGCATGTCCCTCCAGGACCTTGCAAAGCGTCCCCAGGAAGCCGTGCGTATCAACACAAGAAACACCTTTGCTATCGTGAACGGCCGAAAAGCACAAGCAGTTGATGATTTTGTTGGAGAGCGCTTCTCGCTGGTCTTCTTTCGGCTGCTACCACGCTGGTTGCGAAAATGCACTCGATCCGTACAAGTCCGCAAGACTCTGCGCGACCTTGGTTTTCCACTGCCACCCACGCCGCCGCAGCGTTCCGGCCAGAATGGAGGCCACAGACTTGCGGGAAATGGAAGCAACGCAGCCGCAGTGCGGCGGAAGGTGCAGCACATGCGCACATACTGGCTGCGAGAACACACCTGGCCGAGTCGACGTGAGTCGCAGCGTCGCTGGAAGGTTAGCGGCAACCTGTGGCGACGGGCCAAAGCCGAAGCGCGCTTGACTCATTCATCAGCACAATTCGAAAGCTTGCGAGGCGTGTGAGCTGAAGCTGCTTCGCCTGACGGGAGGCCCTTGCTTCAAGAAGTGACATCAGTGACATCATCGAGTCGGCCCGGGGGCCCAGCATTTTTGCGCTTGGAAAAACTGCTCCTCTGATGCGCTTGAGCTAAGGTCAATGAGAAGATGCGTGCCACTGGCATGATGAACCAGCTGCAGTCTGGTGAGGCCGGGCGCCAGGCAAACTGTCTGGTGCCGACTGGTGCCGCTCCATTCAAAAGCAACAACAAGGACTAGCTCTCCCTTCGCCTACGCCGACGTCTCGTTGGTGGAGCCGGATGCTTGGAGCAGAAAAAAAAGGCACTGGGTGCGTTGTGACATGTTGCTAGCGGAGGCTTCGGTTCTTCCCTTTCTCTTTGAGCAGAAGCTGCCGTCGCGAGAACGAAAGGCCTTGAACGCATCCGGCGAGTGTTGTGCTCGGGTTTGGCTTTAGCCCATTCAAGGTGGGGCTGCAACTGGTCGCCTTTCCCGACGAGAACGACAACCTGGATGCGCTTGAATTCCAGCTCTTGAAGAAAAGTGCGGTCTTCTCTCCAGAGTTACCTCTAGTAGTCGTTCGCACATTACTTTCTCAAGAGTTAAAAGAACGAGCAACGCCTGCAGCCCAAACTTTCCCTCCGCTACTGTCGTGCACATCGCTTTGCAGAGCTCAGCACCGGACCTCGTGCTTCTAGCTTTCGTGACCAGCTCTCAAGTTGAAGTTGTCGAGACTTCCAAGTCTTTTGCTTCTCCACCAGTGTGGTGCTTGGTGTCGCGAGGGCTTGCCTCCTTGGCAGTTCGAAAAGAGCGTTGCGGCACACGTAGAAGAGCAACACCCGAATCGAACAAATAAGTCTGCTGCCGGGATAGTGTCCCGGAATACCGTCATGGCACAATCGCCTTGGCCAGCTCGCAGATAGAGCCGACAAAGTTAGGGATTGGAATGATCATGTTGACTGGGACTCCTGGCATGGCTCCGCGGCGTTGAGTCGTCGAAAGGATACCCTATTCACTTGCGTTCGGTGTCTTGCTGTGAGACGTGCTTCTAAGACTTGGACACCTTGCAGTGGTGTTAGAGCTTGGCCATCATTGGGGCAACACCCCAGCAATATATGCATGTGAATATGACGTGAATGTCGCGTTTTGAAGAATTGCGCCCCCCCCTTCCCCGGACCAAAAGGTTTTGGCTTGAATAGTATGGTGTCCGTGACCCTCCAGGCTTGGCTGTGACTCAGAGGGGAGTTGGGGGGACCGAGAGGTTTGGAGCGGCCTAATTAATGCATTTGTTTGTTGGTCAATCTTAAGGCACCCACGACCTAAGTTGGAGTGATCGTGGCTTGATTTCGAGCTTTTGGTCATCCCAAACCCTGCTAAACAGCTTTAGGTACTCGTAAACCTTCGTATTGATTGTACTACTACTGTACTACTCCTGTATGCTGTACTACTACTGTACTACCTGTACTACTCCTGTACTACTATTGTACTTCTGCGCTATTACTGTACTACTGCTGTACTACTACTGTACTACCGCACTACCGCACTACCGCACTACCGCACTACTACTGTAGTACTACTGTACACTGTACTACTGTGCTACTACCGTACCATTACGGTACTATTGTACTAGCGTGAATGATTTGATCAGAATGGCCTGGCTCAGGTACGAGCCTCGGTGCCTGCAGCGGTGGCGACAGCAGAGCTGTGCAAGATCATCTGGCAGGCGGACTAGGCTCACAGGCATGGCCCCTTTTTCTGCAAGGATAACACGCACAAATCACGAAGAACATTCAAGCAGCCAAAGAGTATCCGAAGTAGCACGCTACAGAGTGAAAGTTTGTACAGTATACAGTAGCTTTCGCAAATGTGTATCTTGGTTGCCTGTGCCTAAAAGAAGTGCGCTCTAACCCTCACAAGGGTTATGAGCCCAACGCTCTAAATCCTGTGCCGCTATGGAACACAACCTTGAAACGCCTGCTGCTGCTGCTGGTTGGGGTGAGTCTGTTACGCAAGCGCTGCAAATGGGCGAAGAATCCGAAGTTTCGGCTATGGATCCTTTGCTGCTCGGTGGTGTTAGCGATGATGCTGCAGAGCCTAACTATGCAGATGCACTGGCATCTCAAGGTGATGAGCCGAATAGAGGTGGTCTAGAGCAAGCACCAACCCAAGTGGGTAATCAGCCGCCGCCGGTACAGATTGCCAGAGCTTCTCCGGCATCGCCTGGTCACAGTGAGTTGTCACGCATGGAGGGCGGGGGTATGGCTGCAAAGTGGGATCCAGACGAAGATGAGCTGGTTCCGGATTATGCTAGCATGCCAGTTGTCCCAGAGGGCAGTGGCTCGCACCTCCAAGGGTCTAAAAGGGCGGAAGATATTCAGATCAGGGGTACCGCTCGCGCCGCAGCTATGGACGTTGATGAGCCTAGTGCTGAGGTAAGGGTCAATCCTGAGCGAGGGTTGGAAGTGGAAGCAGCGGTACAACGGCAGGTTTTGAGTATCTTTCAAAGTCAGGTGACTCCGTTGTTGGGGCAACTCATGGATCGACTAGAGGCTATGGAAGCGAGACAGAGCGCTCAACATGACTTGGCGAGCGACTTTCAGAGGATGCGGTTGGGAGTTGAGTCGGCAGCATCGGCGGTAGCTCCAAGAACGACTGTAGAGGCTAGGGTAGAGCATGCATTTCCGGGACTGCCCATTGTGGATAACTCCCAAACCCCTCTGTCTCCAGCTGGTGCATCCGGGGGCGCTGATCCTAGTGCGGGGTCTGGTGAGGAGAAATCTGGGTTGGTGATGGTGTCGGGAGTTGAACACGCCTGGCGCTTGACGTCGGAAGGTCTACAACTTGAACCTACCACGAAGCCTAACTCCCAAGCTAACGTATTTGGTTCGAGAGCTTTGTCCCTATTTCAGGCTGTTCATTCTGAAGTTAAGCCACAATCTGCAGGAAATCGGCCCTCGAGGTCCACAAGTGGTAGTCCGGTTAGGCGTCGGGGGTTGTCTGAAAGTCCCGTAGCTTCAAAGAGAGCTCTGAGGTCATTGGTTGCATCGGCATCGGATCCCACCCATAACCCCTGCTCTCATGCTCCGGTGGCTGCTGCTCCTGAGGTCTTGCAAGCTCCGGGTGAAAGGACTCCTAAGGTGATCAAGCCTACGATTGTTTATCCCATCTCTCCAGGTGGCACTGAAATCCGACCGCCGCCAATTGCGGCTGCTCCGAAGTCTCCTGATGTAAAGGCCCCGCAACCTGTAGTGTCCCCACCTTATCCCTGGCCGGCAAGCAATCTACCCAGAAGTCTTCCATCATTGACGGCTCCACCGGAAGTTCCAAGCGAAATGCGGGGAACTAGTGTGAGAGTTGAGGGCGATTCCTTCACAAACGATTGTAGTGGTGGGTTAGGCTCTGCCGGTGGGAGTTCCGAGGGACGCGAAGGTTTAGAGTGGTTTTATAATGGGTTGAAACGGGTTTTCGCCACACACGGTGGAGACCATGACGGGAGAGCTGAGGAGGTGAAAACTTCAACGGCTGAGCTTCAGAAGCTGGTCATTAATGATGGGGATAAGGAGGTCTCGCCTCTTCTAGCTGGTGACTGGCTCACTTTGGCAGGTCCGGTCATGAAAGATTTAAGTCCAAATAGCGCTGAGTGGTGGAAACAAGTACTTCAAGCATCGACTGATCATTACCAGCGTTGGTTAACCTCAACTCCTGTTGAAAGGCTTTCTCTCAGACCCAATCAGCCTCATAGATTCGAAGGGACGCGATTCTCTCGTGTAGAACAGCGAGGATTGCACCTAATCCTTAAAGCCATTCCCAACTCCTTGAAGGAGGAGCTGGTAAGCACCCAACGGATGTCCTGCATTGATGCGGTCGCGAAGATCTTTTGTACCTATCAGCCGGGTGGTTTAAAGGAGCGTTCGGCTTTGTTGCGGTTTCTCACCACACCAGAATCGTCTTCCGAGGTGAGCGTAGCGCTTAAGCATTTGAAACGGTGGGCTAGGTGGTATCGTAGGGCTGAAGACTTGCAGGTCTCATTGCCGGATTCCACATTGCTTCTGGCAGGATTGGATCTTCTTACCAGTAAAGCGCTGAGCAAGTTTCCGGAAACCCAATTCAGGCTGTCATCTTTTCGGTATTCGCAAAACATTGACATGGTCCCTACATCAGAAAAGGTTTGTGCATTGGCTGAGATGTTACAGGCTGAGTTGGAGGTTTTGGACACCGGTATCGCGAAGACCACTAAGGCAGCGAAGGTTGATGATACCATTGATCCCCCAAAGGGCAAACCCAAGGCCAAAGCCAAGGCGGCATGCAAGCATTGGATGACTCCTGGCGGGTGTCGCTTTGCTGGTAGTTGTACCTTTGCTCATTCGCCGCTTGGAAAGGGAGACAAACGGTGTTTCTCATGCTCATCTATTGAGCACTTCAAGGATGTGTGTCCATACCGGGGTAAGGGTAGTGCTGGTACTGGGGACGGGGCAAGTAAAGGGAAGGGCGCCAAAGGCGGAAAGAAAGGCTCTGAGGAGCAGCCCAAGGGTGATGCGGGGGCAGCGGCTGATGCCGCTCAAACCGCCGCTAAGGTTGAAGATACTGCGAGGCAGGACATGTTTCGTGAAGTTACAGCTGCCATCAAACAACTCACCCAAACATCATCGGCTGCATCTGTTAAGGCCATCGCTGTAGGAGTTTGCCCGACCCTTGAAGGCCTCCCATACCCTAAACCTCAAGCTGGGAGGATGACTGGTCTGCTAGACTCAGGCGCTACATTGTGTGTTCGTCCCAGACGGGAAGGTGAAGAACCGGTAGAATGGCGAAAGGTTGCACTTGCAGAAGGTGAAACCTACATGGGTGTGTCGGCTTTCGGTACTTTGATCGGTTCAACTGATAGCGAGCCCATTGTGTCCATGTCCAAGTTGGTACGCCTTGGCTTTCATGTAGCATGGCGTCAGAAAACTTGTACTGTAGTGCATCCTACTTTGGGACGAGTCCCAGTGGTCGTTCAAGACGGGTGTCCTAGAGTAGATCGTCGGGTTGCCCTTGATTTGATCGCTAGGATTGAACAGTGGGAAAACGATGCTGGTCAGCAGTCCACCATGAATGCTGAAGGAGTGGCTTTGATTCATGAGGCCATGCAGGGTATGGGGGTTGCAGACTATGCGGAGGGTTTGTGTAGGGCGATTGAAGTTGATGACGGCGGTGAGGGAATCATCACTGCGTGGACGGAGGCTCTTCTGAGGACCATGTACCCCGCTGTTCCCGACAGCGTTTGTGATGAGGTGTCACGTTTCCTGCCAGGTATGCACGAAGCTTTATGTTGGAATCGTAGGAAGCGTAGGTCTATGCATCGGTCAAAGGGGGTCGTCCTGAACTTGTGTTGTGGAGACAGCCGACGCCAATTTCAGCAGACAGCTGCGCGTTATGGGTTCCAGGTTGTTGATGTAGATGTGAAGGAGAATTTGAATAGCCCCCATACCATGGCATATCTGCTTCGCCTAGCGGCAGCTGGGAAAGTAAAAGGGGTGTTCTCGAGGATGCCCGATCGCACATGGGACACCGGATCCTTAGCTATTCGCTCTCGGGATGGTAAAGGGAGATGGGGTTTGGACTCAGCGAGCGCTGATGATTGCAGCAGGTTGTTCCATGAGGATTGTTTGTTGCTGCGGGTGTTGATGCTAAAGGTGGTATCGGCAACGGGCTTGAGGTTGAGATTTGGTGAGTGTCCTCCGCTCCTAAGTATCACTGAAGGCCCAAGGGAACCCCAAAAGAACATGCCATCAGTGTGGTGCACGCCTGAGTGGGAGGTTACAGAGCGGTTTTTAGGAGTTCGCCAATACCACTTAAACCAAGGACCCCTAGGACATGAAGACATCAAGCCAACCACGATTGCTGCTCATGGAGTGTACTGGCCACTTTGGATACGGGATATCCTTGACAACACGTGTTACCCCAACATTCCCCCCAAGGGCGAGAATCATGAGCATCATGAGGTGAGTTCGAACTGGGCACTCGGTCTGAAACAGGCTGCTGCCGAAGCCATCACCAACATGGCAGATGTTTGGAAGCGCTACCACGATAATGCTGAGCCTCTCAAGGCCCTCGCAAAGCGCAAGGTTCGAACATCATTTAAGGATCATGTAGCACAAGGCCACATTCCATTCAGGGCAGATTGTCAGCACTGTTTGGAGGGACGCCTTCGTGGTCGCCCGCACAGGCGACAGCCAGCGGCGGAATCGTTTGTGTTGAGTTTGGACTTAATGGGCCCGCATAAAGGCGGAACGGACGAGACACTGAGGTCAGTTCGGTATTTTGTGGTGGCTGTGTATACCTTTCCTGAGTGCCTTGTAGGTGGAATAGGAGCTTTACCCGAAAACCCAGATGAGGCCCCCGATGAGGCTTCACATGAGGCTCCCGATGAGGCTCCACATGAGGCCCCCGATGAGGTTCCACATAAGGCCCCAGCCGAAGTCCAAGAATGGGAAGTGCCCGAGGTGGAAGACCCCGAACAACCCCCCATTGATGAGCCTCCTGTTGATCTGTCTGAAGAGCAAGCCCTGCCCAAAGTCCCGATGATCGAACTTGTTTGGACAGAACCCCTATATCAGAAGACAGAGAGTGAGACTTTGAGAGCAGTGAAGCGGATTGAGGCTCAAATTGCATTGCTTGGCTTGCCCGTGGCACGCGTTCATACCGATGCTGGCCGAGAGTTCTGCAATAAAAGCTTTAGAGGTTGGTGCTCCGATCAGGGGTTCGTCAAAAGTTGTACGGGAGCTGATGATTTCCGCTCCAATGGCAGGGTGGAGAATGCCATAGGAGTTTTGAAGGGTCGCGCTAGGACGCTGTTGAGGGCTTCAGGTCTCGGGTGGCAGGACTGGGCAGTTGCGATTCGGCGTTGTACTTTACAACATAGGTCTCTTGCGTTTCACCGGCTCGGATGGAAGACGGAGCCCATCAAACCCTTCAACAGCCAAGTGCATATCCAGGAAAGGTCGTGGAAGGCTAAAGAATGGGGGTTTAGAGCGGTTCCTGCTAAGGTGTTGGCTCCTGCCAAAGAGGTTGAAAACGCTTATGTGGTGAGGCTTGAGGATGGCAGTCTTAGGAATGCCAAGGTCATCATTAGCGGAGTGCGAGCCCCAATACCGGATGAGGCTGAAGCTCCTGTTGATGTTGAGGTTGCTGATGCCCCCATTCCCCCACCTAGACGGCGTCGTCACAAGTCCCCGCCAGCTATAGTTCGTAAGTTGACCGCTGCAAGCCGCGACAAATTGCGTAACAAGCATGCTCAGGATGAAGCTGCATCGTTTCTGGCCGGAGGTGATACTTTGAACCTTCCACAAGCCTCGTCTGCCCTGCTTACCTCTAGCATGGTGTTGGAAGCCCGTCAAGGCAGGACCCATCGGTCATCAGCGGGATGTGCAATCGTTTTAGGGGCTTACAGTCGCGGGGGTTTGAAAGGGATTACGGCGTGTACTACGATGTTCCCAGGCTTGACAGCATTGGCCATTCGCATGATCAAACATGTTGTGCCCACGGCACGTTTCACTAGCATCGCATGTCTCACTCAGACCTGTGCCCCGGCCCATAAAGATAAGTACAACCTTCCTCAAAACAACATCGTCATTCCTTTACAGGTGCCGCGTGACGGTGGCGGTATTTGGATTGAAGACTGCGAGGGAGATGATGTGAGAGAGGTTAAGCAGGGTTTACGGGTTCGGGGGAGAGTAGTGGCTTTGCAGCAATATGAACCGCTTTTGTTAAACCCTCATCGCTGGCACAGCTCGGAGCCGTGGACGGAAGGGAGCAGGGTTTTGCTAGTTGGGTTTTCCGTTAAGGGTTCCTTGCTGCTTACCGCAGCCGAGCGCGAGCAACTTGGCGCATCAGGTTTTCCATTACCTTTCGAGGTGCAGTCTCCCGAATCTCGGGAGGGGGGAGAGTACCCCAATCATGAATTCAGTTTTTCAGGTGTTGATTCAGTTTTCCCCACACATGTGGATGGTGTTCGTGATGACGCCGAAAACCCAAAACAAAACAACAATCACAAAACCCCCTATAAAAATAGCATAAACTTAAACAAGCATGTATCTTTTGCTGAGGTGCTGGAGAGCATTGTTGAGCCTTGGGGCGATGAACCTGAGGGGTCAAGTGGGTTGGATTCGAAATCAGTTGTAGGTCACTTCCCGGCTCCGGCCGGCGTAGGAGCGGGGAGTTATGAAGTTGGGGCGCGGGAGATGCCGTGTGTTGACCCGGCTCCGGCTGGCGAAATAAAGACATGTCTAGGTGAACAAGGGTTTGGATGGTCCTGCAGTGCATGTCGGAGGGATGTGGTAGGACTTTGCTCGGTGTGTGAGCGCGATGTGACTGAGTCCGCAGCTTTCGGTAGCGGTCCGCCGAACAACAATGAGTCGGTTGCGGCCGCCCCGGTAAGGAGCACATTAGCGGGGCAGCAGGTTAATGGGTTCGCGGGAGCGTTGGATGCCGAGACTGGAGGTTTCGATGACGCTCTTGAGGTGCCCTGTGAAGCTAGTTTCGCCGCCCCGGTAAGGAACACATTAGCGGGGCAGTGGGTTAATGGGTCCGGGGGAGTGCTGGATGTCGGGACTGGAGGTTTCGATGCTCATGATGACGGCATTCTCGAGGCACCCGGTGTTGATCTGATGAGGTTCTGCGGCGATGACTGTGAAGCCATTGGTGTTGGAGAGTTTGGGGGATTTGATTGGGGTGTTGACTCTGTTGTTTTGGAAGCTTCAGAGTTTGGTTTTCCTGACGGTTGCCCCCAAAGTGGTGATGATGAGAGTCTTGGCTCATCGGGGAGTGCGGGCTTTGAGGATTGCGAAAGTCGTGCTCTTAGCTTAAAGGCGTTGATTGCACGAGAGAGTAAGTCCTTAAGCCGCGAGCCCGAAGGGTCTGATGATCGGGATGTTGCTGAATCAACTTTGGTTCATGCGGTTAAAAGGTTGTTGCAAGCTCAAGATAAGGCAGCCGCACAAGCCCCATCTGAGATTGAGTACTCCCTCTTACCGGACTGTGAGGTGCTAAGTACGCATACCGTGCCATTACCAGAAGTGTACAAGTATTTCAGTCGGTGGAGAGGGTCAGCTGAAGCGGAGCTGTATTCACTCATTGATGACAAGAAGGCCTTTAAACGCATCACGCTTGCCGACATTCGGCGCTTGGAAGCAGAAGGTGCTCGCGTAACCATTGTTCCAGGTAAGGCCATCTTTACACGAAAAAGCGGCGGACGGTACAAAACAAGGATTGTTATTTGTGGGAACTTTGTTCCAGAGGGTTGGGGCGAAGATGGCAGCGGTCAGCAGAAAGCGTCATTGTATGCGGCAGGATGTGAGGTTGCACACGTTCGGCAAATCGCGGCACGAGGTGCTAAGGCCAAGTGGGCCGGCTACATCCTTGACATTAAAACCGCCTTTTTGAATAGTCTGCTGTTAGACCCATTCAAACCTCGGACGGCGCCCGCGCCAACACTCACTGACAATCCTACGGACCTACGGAACTCATTGCTGTTCGTCCGCCCAAAGTCTTGATCGCACACGGCCTCGCCGATAAAGACGAGTTCTATCTGTGTCTCCGTGCCGTTTACGGCCTGCCTCAATCACCTAGGGACTGGGGTATCACACGGGACCAAACCATTACTGACATGAGGATTTCGGTTTCAATTTCGGATTTCACGGAGGTTGAGCTGTCCACACTTGATCCGATGCTTCGGGAGGCGATTGGTAAGGAAATGGTACTAGTGCCATCGGCTGCTGATTCCCAGGTGTGGTCACTTAGGTTGCCGAATGTCAGTAAGGACGGTGAGCCTGGACAGGCGTTGGCGTGGATTGCAGTCTACGTCGACGACCTGTTTATTATGGGTCAGAGGGTGTTCGCTTTGGCTCTTGTCAACAAGTTTCGAGCCACTTGGGAAACAGATTCGGTAAAGGAAATTCCAGATTTATCTCAGGGCACGGCGGCTTTCTTTGGGATTGAGTTCGCGTGGAAGGGTGATCAACTTCTGTTGGGCCAACAAGGTTACATTCGTGATCTCCAGACTAGGTACCCACACATCAAGATGCAGTGTGTGCCGTTGCCGCCTGGTAACATCGACATTCCTGAGGTGAGCCCTGAGGAACGAGACCCAAGTGCACTCAGGTCGTGCTAGGTGAAGTACTCTGGGTAGCTATGAGGACAAGGCCTGATTTGATGTTTGGTGTAAGCAAGTTGGCATCTAGCATGTCCCGAAATCCCACTGGCACGCTGCCTTACATTGAACACCTTTTAGGGTACGTTTTCAACACCGTAGATACGGTGCTGGCCTACAGCGCGGATGATCGTACCCAGGAGCTGTCATGTGGCATAGCATCAGAGGCCTTGCATCACATCACCGTGCACACTGATGCATCTTTTGCCCCAGCGGCGGGGCGTTCCCACGAGTGTGTCATAGCATATCAGGATGGGTGTTTGGTCACGTGGCTGTCGAGCAAGCAGCCCTTCACCGCCCAATCTACAGCTGAGGCTGAGCTACTCAGCACTATGACCGGATATCAGCTCGGTAGGGCACATCAATATTTGGCATCAGAGCTGTTTGGGTGTAATGTTCGCCTCACGGTTCTAAACGACAACAAGGCAGCCCTGCAGATCATCACAGTAGATAATGCGTCGTGGCGTACAAGACATCTTAGAATACGGGCTGCTGCCCTCAAGGAGGAGTTTCAGGCTGACAATGTTGGCATAGGTTACGTTCCAGGGGTCAGCAATGGAGCTGACCTGGGGACAAAGAGTGTGCCTGTGAGTAGGTTGAGGGAGTTGATTGCGATACTTGGCTTGTCTAGTTTGACTTGTGATGTTGCGACTCCTGCAACGGCTAGCTCTGTGAGGGTTCACACGTCTACCATTGCGTCGCTGACCTTGCTACTGTGTGTTGGTGTCGTTGAAGGAGCCGCAGGCCGCTCACACGAAAGCAGTACTCATGAGTGGGAGTTCTGGGCGCTGCTTGGTATGGTAGCTATCTGCAGTATCGTTCTGTGGGAAGGAGCGAAATGGTTGAGTAGGAAGCTTGTTCAGGGTTTTAGGGTTTTGTCTAGCGCGTGGTGGCTTCGGAGAAGCTTTGACGAACCCGAGGAGGAAGCGGATGTGCTGTCCGAAGCACAGCCTGATGACGAAGATAACGGAAGTCGTAGATCCTCCGCCTCGCCCTCCTAGTCCTACCCCCCAACCACCGCAGCTTCGCCATAGGCCAGTAGGACAAAGAGTGTACAGAGAAGAACCAGAGTTTGAGCCTCAGAGGCCTCAGCGACCAGTCATGCGGTTTCAGTATGCTGATGATGTCGTAGAAGTACCACTCCCTGAAGAACTTCATGTGGCTCCGCCACCCTCGCCTGGGCCCGATGTCCCCCCCAGGGTCTTGACGTATGAGGATCTAGTTGAGCAGCTTCCACAAGGTGGAGGTGAAGGGGAACCTGCTGTGCGGGTGCTAGATTATGAGCAACTGCGAGATCAAGCTATCGCGCGCAACAATCCTCAGATGCACCCAGCTCTCCCTGACCCTCCTGTTAACCCTAATCCACAATGGCCGGCTCCTGTACAGTTACGAGTTGCTGAGTTGGCACTCCGAGCCTCCACTTGGGGAGATTTGCAGAGCAGTATTCATCAGCTACCTCCCGCTGGAATCAGGGACTTCTACCTGTACTCGCCATCGCGACCATTTGTGCTAGTACGGTGGCATGCAGCTCCACGTGTACAGTTGTTCTCACCGCGGGGAAGCAGGCTGCCTGGACACTTGGCTGTGAACATGCTGGTTGGTTCAAGGCGGACGCTCTTGTGGTATCATGACGGTACCACAGAGATTATTGACGACAACTGGCTACGACAAGGACAGCGACCGCGTGATCGCAGCTGGAGGGGACGAACAGAGTTCCTGGTCGAGTGGGCTGCTACGCAACCCAGGGGGAGAGCGTGAATGATTTGATCAGAATGGCCTGGCTCAGGTACGAGCCTCGGTGCCTGCAGCGGTGGCGACAGCAGAGCTGTGCAAGATCATCTGGCAGGCGGACTAGGCTCACAGGCATGGCCCCTTTTTCTGCAAGGATAACACGCACAAATCACGAAGAACATTCAAGCAGCCAAAGAGTATCCGAAGTAGCACGCTACAGAGTGAAAGTTTGTACAGTATACAGTAGCTTTCGCAAATGTGTATCTTGGTTGCCTGTGCCTAAAAGAAGTGCGCTCTAACCCTCACAAGGTACTAGTACTGCACTACTGTACAGAACCAGAACTTGTTCGATTGTGGATAAGTTTTCAAAATGAAAGGTTTTCATTTTCAGTCTTGCTAGTTATCTTGGAGTGATCGGGGCTTGGTTTCGAGCTTTTGGTGATGCCCACCCCGACCCGGGAATATGCGGACCGCAATTCTTTTTGGTATCGGTTCGAATAATCACCGGGAAAAACGCATTAACAAGGCCCACCGGATTACACAAGCACACACATTACCGTTGGGGTTAGTGCTGAGACCGTATTCAGTAGTATAAAGTATAAAGTATTGAGGTTGGCATGACGTTTAACCAAGTTCATGAATGCTCATGTTAGGCATACCACAGGTGCATCCGGATTAACTAGGCGTTTGGCGCGGCCAACGGCAAGGGTTTTCCTAAGGCCACTATTGTGGTGGCTGTTACGGGAAGATTAGTATCCGGTGCATTACGAACGTTAGCAAGAAGGATAGCTTACGGGTGATATTACGTTTGCGAGGAAGGTTTCAAAAGTTGTGAGTAAGACGCATCTTAAAGTCTGATATTAGGGTTAGGGTGGCTAGGGAGGCTCCAGTATCCTTATTGTCGGGGTGCCAATCAGGTATTTATCTCTGTAGGCTATTGTCAAGGCTAATGTCAGGGTCTCAAGGCGCAATGCACTTGTTTGAATCAGGGTTTTGATTTGAGATTACCGCGAAGGTTTTTTTGGGAGCGAATACTTGGGCGTATATTGACTTGTCGGAGTATTTGCACAAAGCGCCGCATGCAATTGAAAACAGAGGCGGCTGCCGATATATATATATATATATATATACATGCTCTCCCTTCGAAATCTCAAAGCCTACTTTTAAGCTTGGTTTATACACCAGAAGGACCAGGAGCCTAAATGTAGGAGGATTGGTGGCGGTTTCACGGCACTTTGCAATTTTTGGGAGTGGGTTAGCATGTATGTCGTCTTTCCTCTATGCTTAAACATGTCCAACGTGTCTGTATATAACATTTAGATACATACGTACGCACAGGCCCAGGTATGCCCCCCAGCCAAGGTCAAGGGGGATTCTTTGAGCAGTAGACTCTGGAAGCTAGGAACTCTTTTGATTGCAAAACCACCGTCAAGCATCAAACATAACCAACATCACAAACCAGGAAAGTTCGACAGGGATCACACATATTCTTCAGTGTTGCCCACTCCCCAAATCCGAGCAACTAGGATGCACGGATGCAACTTTCGACATTTTAGGATGGTTTGAACCCCGCCGAGCTTGTCGCATTTCCTGCCGGGGCAGTGTTGGGTGTTTTCGAGCTTGGCAGATCCTGGCAGCATTCAAACAATTTGAATCGAAATAAACGAACTGTAATTTGAATAACAATAAGAGTCATCATAGTCGTAGTGATAGGCGTCGTCGTCGTCGTGCTGCTATTGCTCTAATGCCTTAGTGCTCTTGGGCTCTAGTGGTTTAGTGCTTTTGTGCTCTAGCGCTCTAGTGCTCTGGTGCCGTATAGTGCTTGTACTGATGTGACTGTAGTGACTCCAATGCGGTAGTAGTGTGGTGGTGCTGTAGTGCTGGTGCAGCAGTGCTAGTACAGTAGTGCTGGTACAGTAGTGCCACCTAGTAGTACAGTGGTTGTAGCCCGCCCACCCTCGAGCTTCTTCCCGACCTCGCACACGATACAAACACCCAACAAGAGTTGACCGGTCTTGTTGCACTTTATGCCTTGTGCGTTGCACGGGTGGATGGTGGACGGGTGACATCCACAAAGCATACAAAGCCGATCTTGATCTTTCGCTCAGCTTGGCAGTGCTTGCACTATGTGACAGAAATCATGCCAACTCTGCAAGAACTCCTGGGAGAGTTGAGCTAGCCTTAGACACCCATTTTCAAAGCGGGTGATGAACATACTACCATCAGACTGACTAGCTCACATCATCCTGCCCAACCCGGTTTTGGTCACTTGGGCCAGGCTGCACATGGAGCAGCAAAGGCAATCGAAGGATATAGGCCAGGCGGGAGAGCTTCTAGCGGGTTGGTTTGGGAAGCAACCCGCCTTGACAGGTATCGAGCTATATCGTTTTTAGAGCCATGAGCTTTCAGCATTCCGTTGCAGACTGAACCTTCCGAGTTTAACGCAGAAGCTGCTATTGCAGCTGCTTTTTTTGCTTCATGCTTCAATTGTGTTGTCATGAAAATAGTCTGCCCAGACTGACAGGGAACCTCAGAGATGTCATCGCTCAGAGCAAGAGGAACGAGCTCATGCCCCAGCTGACAACAAATCGGTATGCCGGTATGCAAGCTTCGGCGTGTCATTCTTGGGCACTGTGCAGGCCTGCCCCAGGTCTGCAGCCGTTGAAGGAGGAGGCTGCGAAGTCTTGTTGCTTATCGAAGAGAAATCTGGATCCAGATGACACTACGTGAAGTCTCTGACTGCTCATCTATGCGAGCGTTTTGTAACCATGCTATGCTTGTATTTTTTGGCTGAAAGCCTTAAGCTGCCATGCAAGCCTCTCTTGCCGGCAACATGATAAGGTCCGAATGTCTGTCTTTCCGCAATTTGGATTCAGCAACAACAAGGGCACTGTGCTCTAAGAGTGCCGTCGTCCCCTCGGGACATGTCGAGTTTGTTGTAGTCTCTTGTGTGTGAAGCGTCGCACTCTGTTTCGTTTTCGCGGTTGGCTTGTCTGAAGGCAACGCGACTGCGCAGCGAGGCGGAGCAACTTCGCCTGCTACGTGCCGATGACCAGGCACACCAGGGCACAACTTCGCGTGTTGAGGCAACCTTGCGTGGGCAGGTCTAAGCGGGTACCCTGCGTTTCCTGCAGTGCTCTGAGGCGCGCGGGGAGCAACAGATAGCAGCACTCCGGCAAGAGGTGCGTGGCCTGCAGGAGCAGCTCCAGACAATTTCAGAATAGCACGCAACCTGTTGTGCATGCACATGGGTTGAGCGGGGCATTGACTTTGTCACCACCATGCACCACCCATGTGTAAGTGTTTGTCAGGGCCCAGCACATCCGACTGAAGGTATTCCGGGTGGTGCCCGCCCGGAGTGCACCCACCCTGCGGGTCAGGTCGTGAAGAGCGGACGGGGCCTGCGGGCTTCCCTGCCCATCGTCCCCCCTGTCCAGCTCGCCTTTGACTGGGGGGCGTATATTCCGGGGTGCTGCCGCTTTCGGCGAACATCTCCAGAGAATCCTGGAGCGCTCCACCCCCGGAGAGCGCACTCACAGCATCCCGCCCGCAGAGTGTCCTTGCAGTGCCCCTTCGGAGACTGAGTGACTTCCCATGGCGTAGGGTGAGGGGGGAGGCAGGATGGCCTTGCTAGCTCTCGCAGGTCCATACGAACATTTGTGTCTGTGTGCACATATGTTTACGCATATGACATACCATATGTCATAAACCACATATCTGTAGTATGTATGCATGCAGGTATGGATGTATGGATGTACGGTTTTATGTATGTATTTATGAATCGATGTATGGATGTATGAGTATGTATGTATGTATGGTTGTATGGTTGTATGGTTGTATGAATTCATGGATGTATGCAGGTAGGGGTAGTGGTGACAGTAACATGTATATGTATGTGTTTATATATATATATGTATATATATATATATGTATGCATATGTAGAGGTATATGCATATGTAGATGTATATGTATATGTGCCTGTACAGGTATAGGTATTGAAGGTATAGGTATATGCATAGAAGCGAGTTCATCTTTGTAATTGAGTACACACTACCGAAAATGATCAAAACAACACATAGGTTCATTTTTACTATTCCCCCCCACCCCCCCCCGGGCCTCCCCCTCCCCGGGCCTCCCCCTCCCCGGGCCGGCCCCCGACCCCCAGGCGCGCGCACGCATTCTACAGTTGGTGAGGTCGTAGCTGTCCTACATGCATACTTCTTCATCCCTGCCTCGACCATTGTCACCCAGTCTTTCTCTATTCCACAT